TGCTCTGGGTCCGAGGCCTCTCAGGCCCGCCTGGGGAGAATTGAGAGCTGGTCCCACACCGGAAGAAAGGGAGAGCCGGCAGCGGCCCACGGCCCAGGGGGGCGCTGCCTCCTGGTCCCGGACCGCCTGCTCGCCCAGCCGAGCTTGGCTACTAGATGCCCACTTACCCGCTTGCCGGGTCAGGGGAGTCACCGGGGCAGGGAAAACCGTAGTCGCTGGCTGCTGAGGCCCCGTGTCCTGGGCACCCCAGGGCTGCTGACAAGGGGTTAACTCGGGGAAAATGCAGGGGTGCTACGGTTGACCCTGCAAAGCTGGTGTTGGGCTGTGGTTCCAGGGTAATGGGCAGAGAGGTGGTGGGACTCCAGAGGGATTAGTGCTGCTCCCGTATAACTGGGTTAATTCTCTGGGAAGTGAGTTCACACGCTCGCAAGACTGATTAATTACACCCAAGAATAGGTCGCTGTACAGTGAGAGCTTCCTTGTGTCTGTCTGTCAAAGGCACTTACGTCCCCTCCACCTTTCTTCCACGTTAGAAAGCAGCGCAAGGCCTCCCTGGATGTATCTACCCAATCTCAGTCTTCCTGGTCGCCAGAGTCCTGAGCCAAATAAACTTCTCTTCTTTGTAAGTTACTGGTCTTGGGTGTTTTGTTATAGCAACAGGAAATGGACTGAGACAGTGGAAGCTTCAAAAGAGATGATTGCAATTGTCCCTGTGAGATGAAGTCACTGATCCAGAGGACAGGAGTCTGCAGAGCTGGCTCCTGTGCTGTACAAGGAGGGGGTTGTGGTGAAGTGTAAACTGGGTCAGGGAGAGCGTGGAGTGGTGTGAAGCTGAGCTCATGCGGAGTTTGTAAAGTAGGCCACCTTCTTCCAAGTACCCAGGAGATGTGGTTGGAGAGGTGATTCTGGAAGTTTTAGCAGAGGAGCTGTAGTCGCGAACTTTGGAGTTGCTTGGGAGAAGCTGAGCTGACATTGCGAGGCCGAGGGAGAATGTAGTGAAGGTAGAGAGAACAGGGGGAAGACAGGACCTGATCTCCAGGAAAAAGAGGCAGTGGAAGAAATGGAATCCGTCAGGAGAAACCACGAAGGGGCGCCACAGAACTCAGGAGAAAGGGGGAAACCAGAAAGGAGGGTGCCCAAGAAAGTAAGTTTGGTTTGGAATTTTGCAGTTATTTATGGTAGGTTGTAGAAGCCAGATTGTCAGTTGTTACGGGTAGCATCTTGATTAGCCCTCAAAGAGATGGCCACAGATGATGTGGTCCTGGGGGCCAGGGGTGGTTCAGCAAAAGTCAGCGTGGTGCCAAGGGAAAGACTGAGCCATGGCTACAAGCAGAGTATGGTCAGCGTGGGAGACGGCAATTCAGAGGCTCAGGAGGAGACAGGCAGAGTGGGCTGCGATGCGTTGATCGTTAACATGAGGACAGTGGTCAGGGGCTGGAGAATGACCTGGAAGAAGCTTTTAGTCCCAGGACAGAGCACATGACAGACAGAGCTCTGGTCCAGGGTGCTGAGCAGTGTCATCCCAAGTGCTACACGTCCGGAGTAGCAAAGCAACCGAGTTTTCTAGGAGCCACATTTACAATATGAAAATGGAGGCTGGAGGCGAGATGGTAATCCAACGGTCACAGCCTCAGTCCAATAGGAGAAACAGACTGAAGTTGTTCTTCTAAACCATCTATCACACAGTGTGGTGAACACAGCTAGCTTGTTTGTTTCTCGTGGCTATAACGGAATCCCAAGACCTAGTAATTTACAAAGAAAAGAGGTCGATTTAGCTGGATGCTGGAGACCTGACATCAGGTGGCTGTGTCTGCTGGGCCTCTGGGGGCTGCTGCCTGAACTCATGGTGCGGAGTAGGTGTGTGTGAAAGAGAGAGGGGCAGGGGCTGGGCACATTACCAGGACGGGCTGTGCCAGGAGCAGCCTGACTGCTGCAGGAGCCAATCCCCTCTCTTGGGAAAGACCTCAGTGCTCCTAAAATCCCCACCTGCCAATGCCTACACATCGGCAAGCACTTGTCAACGGCAGTTTTGGTGTGTACAAACTGCAGCAGCTAGTAATTGAGTACTGTACATTTTAGTATTTCTACGAGAGCAAATATCAGATGTTCCCGTCACAAAAAATGACTGTTGGAGGTTATGGATAGGTTTATTTGTTTTACTTAATCATCTTACATTGTATTAAAAATCATAATATCACTTTATACTCTATAAATATATAGTTATAACTTGCCAATATATAGTAAAATGAATAAGTAACTAAAATACAAACAAATAGGTACAACTGATTTTAATAATGCATTTTATTTAAACTCAATATATTTAAAATATTGTCATTTTGACCTATGTCAATATAAAAAAACAAGATATTTTACACTTTTTTTCCTACTATGTCTTTCACTTCTGATATGTAGTTTAGACTTAAAGTAATCTAAGTTCAGAAACTAAATTTTCAGTGGAAATACTCGATCTGTATTTAGATTTCATAACATTTACAGCTAAGAAGTTGTTCCATACACATGTGAGCTTTCCAATAACTGAATCAAGTGACCGTTTTTAAGTTTAAAATCGAGGTACTTTAAGTTGAATGAGATAAGAAACGCAGTCCTTCGGCCATGGTCAGTACATCCCACGTAGCCACCCATGAACTAAGTCTGATCCAGTGGTGAGGTTGTCGACCTTATGGGGAATTTGATTTGGTTCTCATGACCAGAATCATGGAGAGAACTGAGTCCATGAACTGAGGCACTGCTGTGTTTCACAAAGTCCACGTGAAGCAGAGGAGGAAGGAGAAGAGTCCAACACGTGGGACAGGGGATGGGAGTCTGACCTGGTCTGAAGCTCTGTTTCTGCTGCTCTGTTGTGTGGCTGGAGGGGTGCACGGGACACTGTGGAGACTGGACTGGGGGGCACCAGAGTTGTGCACTGTGACCGTGCACCGGACACCCTTATTTGCATGATCTGCCTTTTAGTAGTTTTCCTTGAGCTCTGAATGCTGTCTGAGTCATAAACATGTGGATGTGGCTGCTAAGTATTTCTTTACTTGGAAAAAAAAAAAAACCTGGGGGAGCCAGTGCAGTCCTAACTAGGAAGTGTTGGTCCCAGATTTGGAGGTCCCTGCCCCTCACACAGCCTGTGGATCATCTTCTGTTCCTCGCCAAGGGTGGGCAGCATCTGCTCCTCATCTCCACCCTGGCGTCACATGCGACTTTCCCTGTATCTGACAGATCCACTGTCGGTCAGCTTTCTGCCACTGTGACAAAATATCTGAGTCAATCAACTTGAACGAGGAAATGTTTATTCTGGTGAATTGAAGTCATTTACAGTGATGGATATAGCTGATATGTACTGACTTAGCCTTGTCATGTTATTTTCCTGTTGTTGGGTCCCTTTTTGAAAGAAGAGGATATAGTTTTTTAAAGGTAGGTAGATCAAGCAGAGGTTGAAGCAGTAATAAAGTCTCCCAACAAAGATAATCCCAGGACCAGATGGATTCACCCTTGAATTTTATCAGACTTTTGAGAATTACTATTTATGTTCATCATATTAATCTATAAAATAGACAGGGAAAGAGCTCTCCAAATTCATTGTACAAAACCAGTACTACCCTGCTACCAGAACTTAATAAAGACACACAGACTCCCCAGACACACATACACACACCAGCCCAATATCCATTATAAACATAAATACAAAAATCTTCAATAAAATACTTGCAAATTGAATTTAACCTCTCATTAAAAAAAGACACACCATGATTAAGTTTAGTTTATTCCAGGGATGAAGTGTGGTTTAACACATGTACATCAATAAGTGTAGCACACCACATAACTACAATCAAGGATAAATATCATAGCATCAGTAGATGCAGAAGAAATATTCAACAAAATTCAACACCCTTCATGATAAAAACCCTGAATACCCTAGGTATCAAAGGTTCAGACATCAATATAATACAGCGAAACTACAGACAACAAACCTGTAGCCAACATCATTTTGAATGGGGGAAAACTAAAAATTTTCCTTTAAAATTAGAAATGAGACAGGGTGTCCCCTCTCACTCATAAAATACTTGTTTGCAGATGATATGATTCTGTACCTAAAAAGTCCTGAGAATTCACCAAGAATCTTTTAGAATTGATAAACAAACTCACTGAGAGAGAAGCCACACCTTTCACAGTTGCGTCCAAAAAGTGAAATACTTAGGAATCAACCTAACAGAGGAAGTAAAAGACCTTTACA